CCGTTTCGGTGCCTGAGTCATTGTGTTTGTAAGTGACATTGGAACTGATCATTTCATTCTTTCATATGGATATTCAGTTAAAATAGTTAGTTTATGGTAATACATCTGTGACCGCTACAAATGATGTGTGAGGGATTTTTAGAAAATCCACAGAATTAATTTGTGGTTTGACTATGTTCTTAGTAGGCACAGAAGTATCGAATATAGCCAGGAAACTTGTCACATTTTCCCTTTTATTCCTAACAGGAGAGGAATGCTGCTAATTTAGCAATTTGCATTTATTTGTAGAAGTCTATCATGCAGTGTTAATATATGTGAATCATGTGATAGTCTTTGGTTCGGATTTGTTAATATTATGTATTAAAAAATATTGAATTTGTCATTATTTGGTAGAATGGGGTAAAAGAAAGCTGTGTATCTTGGAGGTAAGTGCTTAATAAGTGCTAATACATATACATTTGGTTGATCTGTCATAGTTGTAACAGTAGAGGCCAGGCATTGTTGCATCTAAACCATGTGTTGGTCATTTTTCTGTAGCCTTAGTGTTATGGGTACCATGGAAATGCTTGGAAATTGAGTCTTGAATAAAACGTAGCATGTTGTTGAGATGCACAAAAGATTGCACGATGTTGGGTATAATATCATCTTATGCTACCCAGCCAGTGTGGCTTTTGTTTGTTAATACCAGCTGCAGTAGCTTAGCTTAGCTGGGTTTGTTTTTACCTTGTGAGTCTGCGTGCGTATCGTGTATCTTATAGGGGGCACAACCATGACACTGGTTTAGAGTACTTTGACAGGTGTTTATACGGTATGTTTGTCTGTCCGGATCTCTGTAGAGAGATTGTGTCAGCATAATAGTTAGAGTTTACAAATACATTTGGGCTGACTCTTGAGCAATAAGTACTCATGTAACAATGAAGTAATTCTTAAATAATTGTCATATTGTAGATGGTACTGCATTACATTCCTGAGTCAGGAATATTGACAGGGATAATGCATTTGATCCCCCTGCAAGATGGTCTAGTTTTTTTTTCTTCCACTGGGAAGTTTTGATGGATTAGGATAAAGAGATGTCGTCATCATCTCAAGTTGGTAACTTTTAATCTACCTGTCTTGTCTCTCCCTGCGCTTTCACCCTCTTGGGTTCTGGTCCAACCAAGGCGATAGTAATAAAAGTATGGAGTATAATGCACAACCCCAATTCCAGAATGTTGGGATGCTATGTAAAGTCTCACGAAAACAGAATGCTGTAAATTGCAAATCTCACAAACCCTTCTTTTATTTGTAATGGAACATAGAAAACATATCAAATCCTTTGAGACATTTTACTGTTTGATTAAAAATCTTAGCTTGTTTTTAATTTGATAAACATGTCTCAAAGTTGTGATGGGAGCAACAACAGGCTGGAAAAGTAAGAGTTACTAGAGCAAAAGAGCTGGGGGAATATTTTGCAGCTAATGAGTTTAATTGGTAACAGGTCAGTAGCATGAATCTTGGAGAGGCAAAGTTCCTCAGAATTAAAGATGGGCAGAGGTTTAACAATCTGCAAAAAACAAACAGTTTCTACGAATTATAGAACAATTTGAGATTTGTCTTCCTTGATGTGAAATTGTAAAGACCAATCTCATCATTTCCAGTAGAAATGATCCAGAGAACATGGAGAAAACTGTGCACAAGGGACAAAACTGAAAATCAATATTCTGTGATGGAAATCACTGTATGGCCCAGAAATCATTCTGTGTGATCACAGTTCACCTCATCCACAAATGCAGGTTAAAGCTGCAATAATGAAGAAAAGAAACCATATGTGAACATGATCCAGAAACTATGTCTGCTCTGGGTCAAAGCTCATTTAGAATTCAAAAGCCTGCATCTCTGATGATATGGGAGCGCAATAATGTTTAGGAAACTGGCAACTTGCACATTTGGAAAGGCAAATCAACACTGAGAGGTGCATACAGGATTTAGAGCAACATATGCTCCCATCCAGACAACAGATTTGTCAGGGAAGACCTTATATATATATTTCAGCAAGACAATGCTGAACCACATACAGAAGATCCTACAATAGTATGACTTCATAGTTGAAGTCCAAGTGCTGAACTGGCCTGACTGCAGTCCACACCTTTCACCAATTACAAACAGTTTGGAGCGTCATGATATTTAAAAAAAATACCCAAAAGAAGATCCAGGACCGTTGAGCAGCTTGAGTCCTATATCAGACATGAGTGAGACTACATGTCTCGCCTAAGAGTCCATAAACTTGACTGGTTAAAAGAAAAGGGATTTTACACAGTGGTAAACATAGCTGTGCCCAAATTTTTGAGACGTTTTACTGCCATCACATTCAAAAGATGAAAACACAGCTTTTCCAAAGGTAGTATTTATTGCACAATCCCTATATTTCAATTGAGAAGTACATAATGAAATGGCTGTAGTTCTACCTTAATATAAAATCTGCATTTCAGGTAAAAAAAAAAAAAAAAAAATCGAGTGAATCTTGCTGAAGGAGCTGTCTTCACTAAATATTAAACAACACTTTTGGCAGACCTGTCACTGAAGTTTAAATCCCCTAGGAAAATAGAAAAAAAATCTATTTATTGAAGCGACTTTCTTAAATAGAACGTGCTAAACATTAGAATTCCTCCAAGAGCAACAATGTTTATGTCAATAGTAATTGGCCTCTTATTGTGGTATAGTTCACCACTGTTTGAGGTTATCTTTTGTGGTGGAGCCACATGCTTAAACACATTCTAACCCTTAAAATAGATAGACCTTGTTTGTTTTAAGCGACCTTTATTTTAGTATGGCCATTTCATTTGAAGGGGAAAGATAAATGTCCAGGTTTAATTAGATGTTTACCCTGACGAATATTTCACCTTGTTAAAGGAATCTGTCATGCCATTGTTGTGATTCTGAGTAATCACAAGACTGAGCCTGTGTAGGCCGTGCTAGCTCTCAGTCGGTGTAATCTAAAAAAATCTTTGTTATCCTAACCAAATGATGTTATTGTTGTCATGGTAACAAAGCTAAAGGCATTTAACTAAATGGAGTGTGGGTGTGTGGTTGTGTAGTCTTCTTTCATCTGTTTGGGTTAGGTGGCACGGGACCTCTGGCTGGGATGTCAGAAGTCAGAGGTCGGTGGCTCAAGGCAAATATGTAGCCATTATTGGACACGAGTGGACATAAGACCATGACTCGTTCCGAGACTTTTTCAAGTTTGTCAGAATACCTATGCTGTTTGTTGAGTGAAGGAATGAATAGGCTGACATGGAATTCTATGTTTAAAAAATATTTTTTATTTTCTACCACATAAAAGAACATAAT